TCTCACACTACAGTACTCTACTCTATCTCTACTCTACCTTTACTGTCCAGGCATAAATATGCACTTTCTTCAGCCTGAGGATTATTCATTTCACTTTGGGTGTGAACACAAATATAACTTTTTTGTTCTTATATCAAAACAAACAAGCAAGCCTAGCCCAGGTGTGAAAAAGTAACGCAATTAGTTACTTTTTTTGGGAGAAATGCAAAATTGTAATTGCATTCCTTTTAAAAGTAACTTTCCCCAACACTGCACACAACAGACCACATGCTGGACGCACCGTGAGTGAAGATGTGGTCCCATGCAGTGGCGTGTTGCGTCCACAGGGGGGCGCGCAGGCGCAGCAGCAGGCGGGGGGGCAGGTACAGCAGCGGCGGAGTCGTGGCCAGCATTCGCTCCACGGCCCAGATGAAGCGCTCGGACTCCTCAGACGGAGAGGACGAGAACAGGCCGATGCGCTCGCCGTACAGAACATGGCAGCTCGCTGGAGACAGACACGAGCCAAATCAAAAAATATTTCATGATCTTACTGTGAGCAATAGTTATTTTTAACAGGTAATTTTTCATCAGAATGTCAGGACTTGACTTGTCTCAATATAACTTGGTTTTCTCCAATCAATTATTAAAATTATTTAGTCTACTTAAGCCCCGCCCCTTTCCTCACAATCCACTGCAAGCTCACATTCAGATCCACCTCCACCTTTGAGAGCCACGCCCACATCTCAATATCCAAACAAGCGTTCTCACCAAAATTTACATGTATTTTATACAAGCGATTCATAACGATTTTGAGATTCTTTGATAATAAATGAAAACAAAGCACAATATATTACAACAATTTATTCAAGATTTAAACCCAACAGGAACTCTGACCTTCCAGGGCAAAGCGGAAGAGGTCAGGACTGGGGTCAAGAGTCATCCTGTGCTGACCCGTCTCCCCCACCGCCCCCACCTCCACCCGCCGGCGCAGGGATCGGCAGAAATCCTGAGCCACGTCGTCCAGCAGAGGGAGAAACCGGCGAACAGCAGAAGAGACCATCACCTCCTTATTCAACAGCAGCCTGTCTGACCGCCACTCCGTCCCGTTCCTACACACACACTTACTTTAGAGCCTCTCTCACTCTTACTCACTCACTCACTCACTCGCTCGCTTACAATCACTCACTCACTCACTCACTCGCTCGCTCAAACACTCACTCGCTCGCTCACTCACTCACTCACTCACTCGCTCACAATCACTCACTCACTCGCTCACTCACTCAACCACTCACTCACTCACTCGCTCGCTCACTTACTCGCTCACTCACTCACTCGCTCGCTCACTCACTCACTCGGTCACAATCACTCACTCACTCGCTCACTCACTCAACCACTCACTCGCTCGCTCACTCACTCGCTCACTCACTCACTCACTCACTCACTCACTCACTCGCTCGCTCGCTCGCTCACTCACTCACTCGCTCACAATCACTCACTCACTCGCTCACTCACTCGCTCACTCACTCACTCGCTCGCTCACAATCACTCACTCACTCGCTCACAATTACTCACTCACTCGCTCACTCACTCAACCACTCACTTGCTCGCTCACTCACAATCACTCACTCACTCGCTCGCTCACTCACTCACTCACTCGCTCACAATCACTCACTCGCTCACAATCACTCACTCACTCACTCACTCACTGACTCACTCGCTCACTCACTCACTCACTTGCTCGCTCACTCACTCACTCGCTCACTCACTCACTCGCTCGCTCACTCACTTGCTCGCTCACTCACTCGCTCACTCACTCACTCACTCCCTCACTCACTCTCTCACTCACTTGCTCGCTCACTCACTCGCTCACTCACTCACTCACTCACTGACTCACTCGCTCACTCACTCACTCGCTCTCTCACTCACTCACTCGCTCACTCACTCACTCACTCACTCTCTCACTCACTTGAGAAAGACGCCCTTGCTGTGCCGGCGAGTCTCCCGGTGTGTGGCCCACGGCTGCAGGGTCATGCGTCTCGGGTGGAGGCCCTCGGAGCGGAAGAGCTCGCCGGTGTCCGTCGGCAGCATGATGTTCACACTGCTCTGAGAGCCCAGATTCTCCCTGAGAGAGAGAGAGAGAGAGAGAGAGAGAGAGAGAGAGTCAGTCTGGACTCACTGGGCCAGCCGATGATTCTGGCTTCAAATGATTATAAAAACAAGATAATTACTGATTGTTACAAACTACTGGAATTCTATGGTTTTGTCATGTACTATAAATTAAGCGTTAAAAATGTATCTATTTTTATTCATTTTGAGAATAAAAATCTGAATGAACATTTTGGAAATGAAGTCTGGAAAGTGTATTTTTTGTGAATAAAATGGACATCACCATCTCCCACTCCTGCAGACATCTCCTCCTCCACTTTACACTCACGGACACATCTGCTATAGTGGACGGACGATTATCACATCTAACTTAATCTAACATTCCTGCTTCTCTCATTATACCCGTTAACCACCTGATTAGTAGATCCCTCATCACTGCGGTCACCTCAGTTCCTCAACCACACAATACAGCGACTTTAGACCCATTTCCACCCTTCCCTTCTCGTCTGAGCTCCTATAGGAGAGGTGATGGGCTCACTACAGTCCCGTCTGGACAGATATCAGCAGCACGAGCCTCTCCAGTCGGGCTTCAGTCGGATCTGCGGTTCCAGAGGAGCGGACGGACGGACGGACGGACTCCTGCAGTCCTGGACCCGAGTTCAGCTTTCTCAAATCTGCCTCACACGTTAGATTAGGGCCCAACTCTCACTATTAACCTCAGTAAACTCCTAATTATTGCCTATTAAGATGTTTAGTTTAGGTATTGGGTGGGATTAAGGGGTGTAGAATATGATCATGCTGAATAAGGCATTAATATGTGCTTTATAAGTACTAATAAACAGCCAACACCCTAGTTATATGCATGATGATAAGCAACTAGTAATTGACCGAATTTATTTTTAAAATTCCAAAATCTTAAGATAAAAATAAAGATCTGCACTGTGGCATGAACAAAGCAGCTTATTAAAGTGACTAGTCTAATATTACACAATCTTATATGATATAATAATAATTCAGACATGTTTGTGCAAAGGTTTAAGTGATTGGAAATATTAACATTCTATGAAATTATAAAAGTCCAGAAAAACAAAAGCAAACATTTTCAACTGAGTTTGAAACCTAGAAATAAATAGTTTTAGGATTTAACATTTAAAAGTTAGTAACACGTTACAGTGAGGTTTCATAAAGATAAATGAGAAATATTTCTACATGATTAAAATCAAAACATCGTTAGGTAATGAACATGCACAGTTGATGTTAAAGATGCTTCAGTATTGCTCATTGTTACTTACAGTGAAGTGTTAATATTAGTTAATATCTGTTGACATTAGTTGATGCACTGTGAATTAACATAATCATTTTAATTAACACATTAATGATTAATAAATAGCTCATTGTTAGTTGATGCTTCCACTCATCTATCAACCCTCATCTGTCCCTCGCGGGCAAAAAAGACCCGAAGAACTAAAATTATACAGCATTTTCTTTGTCGTCCAGAAAGCTTAGGCTAATTTATTTAATTTAGATAATATTTTTTAATAAATTTTTTTTTGGGAGATTTTTTTATTTTATTTAGTTTTAAATGACTAGATTTGATCAACAAATAAATAGTAATCTCAGCACATTCCTTACATTCTATCAGCTTTAATTCAAATAACTCTTGATTTTCATGCCTAAATCTTTTAATTCTCTTCCATGGAGTGTGTGCCGACCTCCTGCTGAGGACAAAATAATAATAATATAACATGAAATTTCATAACTCTAGATGGCCTTATCACTCAATATAGAGCATGTGTGATGCTATACCTGTAAATGTGTGTGTGTGTGTGTACCTGTAAATGGGGCCGAGGCGTGTGAAGCTGTCCTCCATGTGCTTGTGCAGGACGCTGAACCGTCCGTCCCTCCAGAAGCGCATCAGGTTGATCCATCCGTTGCTCCCGGTGTGAGGAATCTCCCAGAAGCCCCGCACGCCCCGCATGCTGATCTCGCTCTCTCTCTGCTGGATCACACTGCACTCCTCATCCCTTTAACACACACTTCAGCGTGTGTGTGTCCTCGACACCACTCATGAGTTACTGCCACATCAGGTCAAAGTTCAAGAGAAGAACAACATCAGTGGTCGAGCTCAGAGAGAGAGAGAGAGGGAGAGAGAGAGAGAGAGAGAGAGAGAGAGCTCATATTCCATAAACAGGAGAACATCTCGACCACTCCTACGGTGTGTGTGTGTGTGTGTGTGTGTGTGTGTCTGCAATATCACTGCAGACGCCGGATATTAATGATCCAGAACACAGGATTAACACACTCTCATCTGGACACCTGCGGCTCGGGAGCACAGTTCTGCCATCATGCTTTTGGAAATCATAATTATGACATAAAAAGTTGACTATCACTATATCAATCACATGAAAATTATGACATACTAAGTCATAACTCTGACAGAAAGTCATAATTTAAACTTTTGAATCTCATAGTCATAAATATGAGTGTCATAATTCACACGAGTCAAAATGTCATTAGGTGTTCATTAGTGCTGAAACCTAGGAGATAAAACAAATCCCCTAAAACGCATCGTGCAGCCCAAACCGTACGGCCTAGAGACTTGAAACTCCGCCAGATGAGAACCGATTGGCCCATAGGTGGCGCTACAGCAACCAAAAGTACTAAATTGCTCATAAATAACTCCTCATTCTGCATTTGATTGGCTACAACAGGGTCATTTTCAATGATCACCAGCCTGAAAGCACACGTCACATCTGCATATTTATATCATGTTTACTCATATGCAATATTGCTGGAGTCAGATGATGATTATGATGGAGAAACACGAGACGCTCGGAAGCACACGGCTGACGTCACGCTTTTGGAAATCAGAATTATGACATAAATGGTTAGTTATTGTGAGACAGTCAAAATGATGACATAGTACTCATTTAATTTTTGAATCTCATAATCATGACTTTTTCTCATACGACAGTCAAAATTATGGCTAAGTACGTCAATGTCAACTTTTTGACTTCTATAACGCTTTAAATCAAACGCGTCTGTAAGCACTACGATTAAAATAATCAATTAAAAATAATGAAAATAAAATATAAAAAAAGTATTTGTTGAACAGATTCATTGAGATAAAGTACAAAAAATTTATTAAAAAGATATTAAATCAATTACACAAACAATACATGACTTTAGTGTAATATGGACTATCGAAACTTCATTATAGAAAATCATTAAAGATTCTTAAATACTTATAAAAGATAGATGTGTACGTTTAGAAGGTACACAGTGTGTGTGTGTGTGTGTTTCTGACAGTCACATGACTCTGCTTGGGCTGGTGTGTGTGTGTGTGTTTCTGAGAGTCACATGACCCTGCACGGCTCTGCTCGGGTGTGTGTGCCGGAGCGCAGACGTTGGAAGGCTCTGATCACACTGAAGCCGTCGTCTCCATCGTCAGCGTCGGGCCGAACCATCTTGGCCAGATCTCGGGGGAGACACACTTTCCCCCCCGCCACACGCACACGCTCCCGGTCCTCGGCATTCTGGGAAGGAGAGAACAGACGGATGAGCGGAGGACACTGGGAGATGAACATCATCATGTGTGTGTGTGTGTGTGTGTGTGTGCGATCATCTCTTCCTCTTTACAGCAGCAAATGAACATCAGAAGGAATGATGAAGATTCAGAACAACTTTTAAACTAAATTTACACACTATTTATGAATAAACTTAATGCTATCTCAAACACATTTAAGTCGTTAAAGTCATTATAATTAGTTTGTGATGTCATAACTTATACAGTGAGAGCCAATCAGAATCCATCCTGCTTAAGAGCTCGAGCGTTTAAAGGGACAGGCGACTGCATTATGACAACAGAACATTCTCGTCGCTGGTGTGTGTGTGTGTGTGTGTGTGTGTGTTGACCTTGGTCAGCTGGTATTTGCTCCTGAAGTGGAGCCTCATCGCAGCTCTCTCTGCGTTCTTCTGAGCGTTCATCGCCTCGCGACGCTTCCTGCAGATCGGGGAGAGAACGAGACGTTACAGCATCGAAACGCTCCGACCGTGACCTCCGCTTTCAAGGTCCCCGAGGTGAAGATCCAGCTTTAATGATGTTTGTGTGTCTGTGGTGTTTTTAGGTTGCTGAAGATCTGCTGATTATCTGACCCGATGTCTCAAAGTCCCCCGTACTCCATCATTTCATCTTTAGACACCAAAATTACATATTTAAAATTTTCTTTCCTTGAAAAACAGGAAATTTTCCTTATTATTATTCCTTAAAATATCTTGAATGTAACTCGACACCCTGCTTCATTTAGGCTATGAATATGCAAATGAGCCCCGCCTCCACTCACTCCCTCACTCAGAGATCCACTGGTTGACGATCACTCGTTGATCTGATTGGTTACAAGGTGGTTTGTGACGATTTCAAAGCGTGTTTTTGAGACTGTCTTTGGTTCACTGCAGTTTTAAGGAGGAAATACTCAGCAATGCTGTCCACTTATCAACGCACACACGGTTTAAGCGTGTTAAACACACCACACACACACACACACACACACAGCCGAGCTGGATTTCCACCACAGGAGAGTTTAAAGCCTCATGATTTGTGTGTGCCGAGGAAGAGGTGTTCTGAAGTGTGTAATCGCGAGCATCGTGACCTCTCACCTCTCTCTCTCCAGCTCGGCCTGATAGGGTCGCAGCAGATGTGTGTCTGCGCCGGACCTGAGCGGTGACCTCTGACCCTTCGAGCCGCTCGGCTTCTTCTCTCCGGTCACGCAGAACTTGAGTGTCTTTATGGGAGCGAGCAGAGATTTCTTCACGGCAGACTCCATCGTCAGATCTATATCAGCACTATCTGTGTGTGTGTGAACACGGATGGATCATGTTCAGTGTGTGTGTGTGTGTGTGTGTGTGTTGTAGACGAGACGGTTTAACAGCTCACACACGAGACAGATGGAGGGGCTCAGACTCAAATCTGCAAGGACAAGGACACACACAGTCAGAACACCATTAATAACGTTCGCACACATTAAACGCGGCGGTGTGCTGTGATTGGTCAATGGAGAGAACAAGTTAAATCACTATCAGATATTCTCATTAAACAAGATTTCTAATGCCATGTTGCTTCGTCTTCTGTAAGTGTGTGTCGGTTCAGATATGAACAACAGAAACTCTGAGAACTCGTTAGAGAAATACATGAGCACAGAATGACACCACTGACCAATCACAGTCAAGTAATCAACAGAGACGCATGGAAAACTCTCTCACACACACTCACACACTCCTCGTCTCCATCCAGCTCAATAAAACACACTCTTCCTCCCGAACGACGAGATCCAGAGAGTGTGTGTTCCTGTTCTGCTGGACTGGTCACTCGCTCTCCTGTGCAGATTAACACACTAACGACCTTACTGAGGGAAGCTCATTACACACACACACACACACACACACACATGAGCATGAGGCCGGCGAGAGCGAAAGCCTCTCGTGACTGAACAGATAAAACACGTCTGACGTCATTAATGCTGAACAAGCAGTTGTTAACTAACACAATATTACATAATAAAAACTCATATTTATTTGTTCTACCGGTAAATAAAATATACTAATAATAATAATATTAAATAGTTTGTTCGACCAGTAAATTCAATAATATTACATAAATAAACAATAAATAGTGTACTTGGCGTCCATGACCCGAGAGCGACACCGCTTGTGTCCTCTGCACTGACGGCCGCTTTGTTCACGTATATAATATAAAGTTTATGGTTGTGTTTTGATCCTTCCGTGGTTCGGTGATACCCAGAATTCTCAGTGAACCGTCACATGTCAGGCCAGATCTTCCAATCAGAAGACTTTCACACTAGTTTGTATTATTGCACTCCATCATGGTCAACTACGCGTGTAATAAACTGTGCTGTATAAATACAAACATTGTTTAGTGTATTTTTCCTAATAAAATTAAAAGGTAAAATTACACTGTGAAAATACACATCATTACCACAAGAAAATTATTACAAACTCCAGCTTTATGGAATTTTGGGATATGAAAAAGTATCATGATGACATTCTAATCCAGCTCAAGATTAATCATGACCACAACATCACATGACCACAACATCACAGCTGTGTTCATACTGACAACATGAGGCATCATCAAACTCCTGGATCCTGTAAAGCGGAGCGCATCATCATCATCTGCAGGAGAGTAACGAGGCCGGCGAACTCGTCAGCGGAGAATATACCGAGAGGAGAAGGTCATCCAGGCGTTATCAGTGACCCTGAAGAGGCCTTGAGGAGCTGACAGGTGAGGACACACTCAATTAAAGACAACAGAGACACTGATGGAGTCTAGAGCAGAGCAAACACAGCGCACACATGTGTGTGTGTGTGTGTGTGTGTGTGTGTGAGCAGCTTAGAAGATTGAGGACATCAGTGACCACACGTGAACCACAGACGAGGCGTTGAGGTCATTTCTCATCAGCCTCTTGAGAACCAGAACACTTATAACACACACACACTCGCAGTCAAACAAACACCTCACCATGTAACACACACACACACTGACAGTCAAACAACCACCTCACAATATAACACACACAGTGTCATAGACGTCACACACCTCTGAGGTCGGCTCTGCGCACACACACACACACCACCTCCTCCAAACACTCCTGAAAAGATTACAAATACACCATTTCATCATATCTGCGTTACTACACACACACACACGCAATCAGTGTAATCATTTCAGTCTCACACAGGGCTCGACGAAGAATTAACGAGTCAAATCATAAAAAAAGATTCATCATTTGATTTGTTTATCTGCATGCAATGACAATTAACCAATATCAGAGAAGCAGAAAAACCCAAACTCGTTAAATCACTACAAAAGTCTTCATGAAAGGGAAGTTGAGCTGGTGTTTCTCCTCTATTGTGTCGTATATCGAGTGAAACGCTTCAGGAACATGAACACGTGTGGGCGGGGCTTGACTGTGTCTGAGGGGAGGTGATTGGATGGTGGTGGTTTGCTATTGGCTGATCTCATGTGAGTGAGAGGTTTTCGTGACTGACTAAGACGGAGATCACCTGACTGACACATAATCACAGAATGCTTTTATTTACTGTATTTGCCATTTAGGCCAGATCACAGATTACACTACAACACACACACACAATCTCAGAGTCATACACTCCATTAATTGACTCGTGACTCAGACCCGAACACACAGCTGAGCTGGAGCAGATCTACGTCACGGTTTGAAACTTTCACTCATCGGCCAATTTGGCCACGACGTGTTTAAGTCTCCGGCCGAACACGAAGTCCCCGAACACTAAAACCAAAAGAAATGAACCCGATTTCTACACACAGCTTATATATTATAGAGTTTGGATTTCATACATTCATTTATTTTACAAACTAAATCCTGCCATCCAGCATCTCCTCTTTCCTCCTCATCACCAAACGTGTTTCAGGCGGACAGACGCTTATAATCTCCGCTAGATGAGCCAGCGCTGTTGCGCGTTTGGCGAATGCTAGTTTCAGACCCTGCTAGTAGCTAATAGTAACATCTGGAGATTGATTTGGCGGCACTAACCTGCTGAACTCAGGCTAGCAGTTCCTCAGCGGTCGCTCGTACACAAGACTGCGGACACACTCGTCGGGTTTATTGGCTGTGTGGATAGAAACCTTACAAAAGATTCCTAGTACACACACACACACACACACGTTCAACTCAGTCAAATGATATGAAGCACATTTTATTATACAGAACATGTACATGTATATACAATGATATTCAACTCATACAAAACAACTAAAGTCGTAAAATAAATACTGAAATAGTGTGTTTGTCTGCCGAGAAGCGCGACATGTGCAATCTCTGCTAGCCTAGGCACCTGACATGATCCAAAACCACCGGAAGATGTTCTGCCCCCTTGTGGCAGAGCGGAGCTGTCCATCAAACGAAGGCCGACCAATCAGGGCGCTCGTGAAGGTTTCGGTTTAATGCTACTGGCTGTTTCTCTCCTCCAATCAGCAGCGAGCGGAGAACTCACCCAGTCATTAGCAGTCTCTTCATCATGACATAAGCATTCGTGATTGGATGACCAACCTGTCCATCACTCCTGTGGGCGTTTCCCCAGCTCCGGCTCCGTACAGTCTCACCCGCTGCGAAACACTAGCGGGGTTAAAGGGGAGGTCAGGGGTCACCGGCTGATGTTACGGGAGCCGCTGAAGTGCTCAGCGTCTCGGATGGGATTGAAGAACGGATGACGCAGCGCAGCGGAGAGAGAGAGACGCCGGTCCGGCTCGAACTCCATCAAACCCTCCAACAAATCAAAGAAGAGATGATGCTCCTCTGACTCGAACAACACGTACCTCTGAGAGAGAGAGAGAGAGAGAGAGAGGGAGAGAGAAACTCATGAAAATCCCTCATGAGCTGTAGAAGTTTCCTCGGTGCGCGAGTTACGCCAGTAGTGTGCCGCGGTTATGACAATACCGAAAACACCTCTTGTGGACACATGAGGCATTACAGTGTGTTTTTCCTCTAACATGAAGCATTGCCTTTACAATTAGAATTTAATTAGAATTTAGCTAATATTTAAGAGCCATTTTGAGCCTCCTAGCTGAACACGAGCCTGGCATGTTTCTGCTAGTTTGCCCACACTGATTCACAAAACTTTAACTGTTAGCTGTATAACTAGCGCAGACACTGTTAGCGCACACTCGTGTGTATTAATGCAGCGATGTCACTCACTCTCAGAGGCCTGCAGTTCTCTCTGACGTATCGTCCCGCTGACGAGTTCTCGTCCCAGTCCAGTCGACCTCGGTAGAAGTACTTCTGCTTCCTGAGGGCAGAGGTCAAGTCATGCTCACACACTCTTCACACACTCTTCACGCTAGAGCTGGGAGTATAATCCATGCATCGCGATACGTGGATTGGTTAAAATGTTCCCGAATGCATAGCGATTCTGCTTCCATACATCTCACGTCACGTTTAGACCCTGAGCGGCGCTTTACCAGCGGAAATCATGCTAACACACACACACACGCTTAATAAACCTTTTCAAACTTTACGATTTTACTTTTTTGGTTTTGAAGGACAACAATCAGAGATCTCTCTTGTTAAATAATATCTTTATTATCCTTCAAATTAAAAAAAAATGGATGAATATAAATAAACTAATAAAACAAAATGGCACAAATAGAGTGCAGCTCATGCAACGACTGGAAACCTTAACCACTGAACGGACACGACCAGACATCCTTAATATCTAGATATCGCTTTCTTAATCAAAGTGGGTTTTGTTCTCATGAATATATGATTAAACTGTAGAATGAAAGCTGATATTTATGAGCAATATCCCGCTCATATCCCGATCAGACGCGCTGCAGTGCTACTATTGCCTCAAAACATTGTTTCATCAATCAAATTAAACACTCATTTCACATATATTTTCTTTATAAGAAATATGAAATATTTAATTAAGAAAAAATGAAGAAAATTTAAAAATATTTTTTTTAATAAATTTTAAATAAAATTACAAAAATTAAGAAATATTTACTTTTTAATAAATATGGCTTAAATCAAGCACTTACAGCACCTTGTACGAACCCTGTGTATAGACGGTGTGTGTGTGTGTGTGTGTGTGTGATGCTGGATTATCACCCCGGCTCTACTTCACACTGATATCATCGATCATGTTTCCTGACCTCGTTTTACGAATCATTCTCGAAGGAACTGGTCCATGTACTCGCTCCATCATGGCCAGATGCTCCCTGTTATCATGAGTCTGAAACACACACACACACACACGTATGAAAGAACATGTACTGATCTGTTCCCAATAACAGTTATGTTCATATTAATGAGCATCAGAGTAATGGCAGTGAATAGAAAAACTCAAACAGGGATTTTTTTTAACATTTGTTTGATCAAAAATATGTAAAAAATGGTGAAATATTATTCTAATGTAAATCATCAGTGTTCTATGTGAATATACCGTAAAGTGTAATTTATTCCTGTGATCAAAGCTGAATTTATCATCATTACTCCAGTCTCCAGTGTCACATGACCTTTCACAAATCACTCTAATATGAGGATCAAGAAACATTATCAATGTTGAAAACTGTTGAGGTGCTTCATATATTTGTGGAAAAACAGCATTCACAGTAATAATATTTCACTGTTTATACTGATATATTAAATATCTACTTGATATATTAACACTTATATTCAGCCTTGGGGAGCAGAAGAGACTCTATAACTCAATTATTCCTAAGTTTAGACTAGAGGATCAGTGCGGATGTTAATTATTTCAAATAAAATAAATCGATATTTATTATTTGTACAGCGCTTTTCATGACACACATCAAATCAGCGTTACAGAGCGAGCACGAGTCCACATTACAGTGTTCAGGGATCTGCTATCAGAAATGCACATATACAGAATCACAGTTAGTGAAATATATATTAATTTAAACAATGTACTAATTGAAGGCAGGAACTATGAACTCAATGAATTGATGAATCCGTGTTCGTTAACTAATGATAAAGAGATTTAGCATTTAATCTGTGCCGACTCACATCTGGTTAGGATGAAACAGTGATTTATTGGTGTCTCTGTTCATGTGTTTTTATTTTCAGCGCCATTACTGACCCGCTGCTCAAAGTGGAAAACTCATATGAACGAGACAGAACACACACACACACACACACACCTGGTAGAGTGTGTATCCGCGGTAGAACTCAAACAGAATACAGCCAATACTCCAGACGTCACACGGCTGACTCCAGCCCAGCTCTACGGGGAAACAGTAGAAAATCACACACACACACACATGCTGAAAGCAGTCGCATCATCACAAGCACGCGCGCTCTTACCCAGAAGCACCTCTGGCGCTCTGTAGTGTCGTGTGGAAACGATGCTGCTGTGATGCTCGTGGTCAAACGTGGCGCTGCCGAAGTCCACAACCTTCACAGAAGGACTGTTGATGCAGCGCTCGTCTCGCTTCTGACACACACACACACACACATTAGACTGACCACAACAACAACAGTCCAGAGACCTACTTTTACACCAGACCTAATAACTCATATTTTTTTCTACAATGTAACTCATATTTCATGTCGGTTATTTTAGTAATCGAGTGTTTGATTATTCCATCGATTAATCGGATACAAAATTGCGGTAATAAAAACATCCAAGTGAACAGCTTTCAACATGACTTCAAGTACAATATAATAGCGAGCGATAATAATCGGTTCAAATAAAGTATCAAAGTAAGTTCATGTGGGTTTGATTGAACAACGCTGTTATAATGCAGCCTGTTAAACAAATGATACAATAAAAACTGAACTACGGCAGGATCCAATCCTGGAGTGATAACGGACAAACAACGTCCACCTAATCTCTAATATTTGGTCACATCAAAACACTCATGGCCCGTGTGTGTGTCTGAGCACGTGTGTGTGTGTGTGTGTGAACGAGGGAGCCTCACCTTCTCCGGGTTATAGAGGACGGTGTAGTCAGAGTTCACGAACAGGATGTTCTCGGGCTTCAGGTCTGTGTGTGTCAGCTTGTTGTCATGGAGAACTGTGGGAGAAACAGACCATAATCACTAATGAAGCTGTGTGTGTGTGTGAGAGAGAGAGTGTGTGTGTGTGTGTGTACTCACACTTGACGGCGAGGCAGATCTGGTAGGCCATGTGTCGGACCTGACTGATGGAGTAGGGAAGGTAATTGTTCTCCTTCATGAAGTCGAAGGTACTGAGAGCTAGCAGCTCGAAGCTAATGCACATGTGGCCATGATAGTCGAACCAGTCCAGCATCTGCACACACAGACTGGCGGGACAAACACGAGGTGCGGTTAATACACAAACAAGACGTTTTATTTGGAAAGTAACAGATGTGTGTTGCGGCTGTGTTTTGGGGAAACGCTGAAAAACCCATTATAAGCAGATGAGCTCGAGACTAACATAATGATAAAGAAATTAAAGTCCCCCTGTGGTGTCAATCAGCATTTAATGTTGTTTATGTGTGTGTGTGTGGTGTGTTTAATACGCTTAATCCATGTGTGCGTTGATAAGTGGACAGCATTGCTGAGTATTTCCTCCTTTAAAACTGCAGTGAACCAAAGACAGTCTCAAACACACGCTTTGAAATCGCTGGTGTTTCTGACGTCACAAACCACCTTGTAACCAATCAGATCAACGAGTGATCGCCAACCAGTGGATCTCTGAGTGAGGGAGTGAGTGGAGGCGGGGCTCATTTGCATGTTCACAGACTGTGCATACTAAATGAGGCAAAGGTGTCGAGTTACATTCAAGATATTTTAAGGCAAGAGGCAACGTTTAAATATGGGTTAGGGTGATCAAAGATGAGTTTTAGGGATTAAACGATTGACTACACGGGGACTTTACATGTAAAACTAATTCTAGATGCACTGAATTTGGGAAGGAACACACATTATCATGTGAAATGTTGTTTGGATACTTCTCTATTTATTAAAGTAGTGTTCTGTGTTTTCTGTATTAATCTCTAAAGGTGGATGTAAAATTCAAATAAAACTTAACATAAAGCTTGTTTCTGCCAAGGAATAAATAAAAAAATTAAAAAAGCAACTTTTTCGTATTGTACAATTCCGACTTTAATTACACAATTTTGAATTTATATCTAAACTCACTAATTTATAAACACACAATTGCGAGAAATAAATTCAGAGGAGCAACAAGCTTCAATAGGAAACTAAAAATGTCTCGTAATGAAGACACTCACTTCTTGTTTTCTGGATCTTTCTGGTTGATTTTCTCCAGAACGTTGATCTCCAGACGAGCCGCTTCTTTGTACTTCTCCACGTTCTTAATGATCTTCAGAGCGATGTGAGAGCCTCCCCTGTCACACACACACACACACACACACACACACAGTGAAACACCTGTGACTGTCAGCTGAGAATCAGTAAGTGTGTGTGTGTGTGTGAGAGATTAACCTGTGATGATCAATACACTCCACCACTTTCCCAAAGGTTCCCTCCCCGAGCGTCCCTACGATCTCATCTGCACAAGGAGCACAAACGTCACAAAACACACAGTGTGACAGTGAGTGTAGAGAATAGAGTGTGTAGAGATGAGTGTAGAGTATGGAGTGTGTAGAGATGAGTGTAGAGAATAGAGTGTGTAGAGATGAGAAACGCACATCTGTCCTGAAGCACGTCACCGGCGCGATAGACTAGGTGACCCTCGTCATCATCTTTGACAGCCCACCCGCGAACACGACTGCAACTCTGCTGTGGAGAGAGAGAGAGAGAGAGAGGGAGAGAGAGAGATCATCAAATGCAGATCATTTTATACAAAATCTGAAATACTTTGCCCTAACTACATAATATTGAACGATAAAATACAACGTCAACATTTATTAGGCGAATAAAGAGATTGTATCTACTAGCAGTGAGATATAGGGATAGGGACCAATCAGTGACGCGCTCACACACGTATCGTCTGACAAATAAAGCCTCACAAATAACTTGCGAGTATTGAGGCCCAGACAGCAGTCGTTCAGTAACAGCCTTTATTCTTTATTCTTTACATTTCAAATAGGGCCAATGTATATACTTCTCTTAGGCTTATGTTTTTAAATTACAAAAAGGGCCTACTGATGTTTTTGTTATTGCATTTTCAATATTAAAGGCTATTATTTGTGCATAAACATATCCGGTTTGAGTAAACATACCGTTTGTTTGAAAACAGCTTATTTTGTCCTCGTTGCTGCAAGCTTACAAGAGCGGTACCATCATCACATGTGAAGGGGCATAAAATATTCTTCGGGTAAAGGGGGTCTCAGACTAAAACGGGCTGGGAATCACTGAAGTTACACTATTTAACTGAACATTAAACATGAACGTTTATTATGGTTTATTATCGTCTCAGCGGTGCGTTTCTCTTTAATTGGACACCTCGTCTGTCTTCATCAAGAACACACTGACTCCAGATTCGACACACACACGACGAGCCCAGCAGACACTTGAGAAGGAGGTCAAGCGCATACACACACACACACACACTAACCCGACCGCTAAACCTACCCATCTCACACACACTGTTGACATTATAATGGTGTGAATGTAAAACTCACATTAAAACCTCCCTATCCTACCAGGAACACACACTCATCGTCTCACACACCTTTCATGTAAATTCATCATAATGTTGACTGACTAACACACACACACACACACATTAGAAAAACACTTGGTTTAATATACACTCTAATATACAATTTCGTCACTAAAGAAAGTTTTATCAGATTTGCTCACTTTACGAGAATGTTTAGCACGCAAAACACAACTAGTAAACACACACACACACACACACACACACAGTGTGAAGGATACTCACACACAGGCAGAGGCAGTCCAAGAGGCTCTTAAACACAGAGGACAACTCTGCTTTACCCATAACTCCCGTCAAATACATACACTTAGCCTACATCTGACTGACTGAGAGAGAGAGAGAGAGTAGGAACAGGAGAAAATCTTCAAGTGTTTGTGTGTGTGTGTGTGTGTGAAAGAGAGAGAGAGAGATGAGACTTGGGCTAATTTTAAACGTTCCTGACGGGCCCCAGGGGAAATCCTGAGACCCACACACACACACACGACCCCTAAACCTACCCATCACACACACACACACAAACCCTACCCCTAAACCTACCCATCACACACACACACACACACACACTAGGGCTGCACGATACTTGGAAAATATGCAATATTGGTGTTGTAAGTGATGTAACATTTCCAGAGAAAAGCTATTTTTATTACAGTTTATTTAATTTTTAAATAGTATTTTTTTCTTTCTGAAAATCAAGTCAAAATATTAAAAAGCATTTTCTGCATTCATGCAATGGTAAAAAAATTGGCAAATTAAATAGAAAAAGTGCGAAACCCTGCGTTGGGTATTCGGCTTCGGCCAAGAATGATCATTTCGGTTCATCACTGACTGGATAAACTCACCGCATGTAAACACACCACAGAAACATGACAAGACCAGGACCATCTACACCGAGTCACGCTCGGTGTGTGTGTGTGTGCAGCACTCACGGAGGAGAAGGACCGGCTCTGGCTGAAGGAGTGTGTTCTGGAGCGGGTCCTGGTCCTGCGGTGTCTGCGCACGCGCCGACTGCTCCTCTGATCCGCTCCGGGATCCCGATCCGAGCGGAAGTCGTGAGAGCGACGGGAGAAGTGTGTGTGTCGGAAGAAGCCGTTCTCGACAAACTCCTCGCGCTCGCCGCGACAGTAGCGTCTGCTGCTCAGCCTGTGCTCGTCATAACTGGAGGATCACACACACACACACGCTACAGGTGATCTGGCAGGTATCAATCGTCTGCAATTTTTTAACGATTGTGATTCTTATGGATTCCTAATTTCGATTCCAATGAGGTAAAAAAACGTAGACGTTCACATTTAGTGTTCTTGCAGAGCTGAATATCACGAGCAGAACAACTAGCCAAACTCACACACACTTCCAGCATTATTAAAGACACACACTGAGTCATTAAAAAAGAACAAATAAATAATTAGCAATCGCAACTAATAGACAACTGAACAAAGACATGATTGAAATAAAGATTTTCAGGTTCAGCAACTGTACTCAAATGTAGAATAACACTGCAGTTCATCAATAAATACACACTCCAGATACAGAAGCTATTCAGTGCAGAGCGAGTGTGTGTTCTCAGACTCCTGCTGTGTGATTAGTGTTATTATAGAGAAGGGGGAGTATGAGCGCTGTCCCTTTAAGAGCTGCGGGTCCAGTACACACACACACACACACACAGTCTCCAGCGCTTCACACTCATGCTGAGACACACACAGAGGAGTCATAAGAGGAATGGAAATGACAGGCGCGCGGCCCGGGCGGAGCGGTACCTCCTGGAGCGCTGGCGTCGCTCGCGGTTCCGTCTGCGGCTGCGGTCCCGCTGGGCGCTGGAGGACGAGGAGCGGCTGCGTGTGCGGCGTCTCCGCCGGTGCCGCTCGTAGCGAACGTGATGATTCCCACTGCGACTCCGCTCCGACGACGGGTATCGCCGGGAGTGAGGCATCTGCACACACACACACACACACGAGGCAAGTTTATTTATAGCACATTTCATACACAATGGCAATTCAAAGTGCTTTACATAGAAAAAATTTAAATAATCAAAACAAGTAAAAATAATTAAAATATAAAATAAAGTACAGTACAAACAGTGGCACAGCGCTCATTCAGGAAACACATTTTTCCAGTAACGGGGAAATCTAACTATTTACTTTTCCCGTCGTTACAACGCCGCTAACGTTACTGGATGTTAAATGCGGTGTGTTACCACGGGCGTCAGTGAGGTTTGACATGTGCTGGGGACGGAGACGCAGTGGGAGAGCATTTCCAGTATTCATCATATATTCATATAAGTGCTGGATCAAACTCGTCAAACTGTGCAGCCTCTCCACTAACCCTAACCCGTACACCTGAACCCTAACCTTAAGCCTAACCTGAACCCTAACCCTAATCCTAACCCGTACACCTGAACCCTAACCTTAAGCCTAAACTGAACCCTAAGCCTAATCCTTACCCTAACCTGAACCCTAACCCTAACCCTAACATAAACCCCATCAATGGTCTAGTGGTAGATATTCTGCTAAGCATGTTAGACAGAGGTTATGGGTTATAATTCACATTCATATAGTTTTTTTTTTTCACATCAAAACTGAATATGTCCATCAGTGGGACAGTCTATATCACGAAAATTTGTTTAAATTCCTAATATTGTTTTTTAATCTGGTAATATGAAGCGAATCGCGTTGCTTCTCGGCCTGTGATTGGCTGTTGGCTTTTGTTCTGATGTCACACCTAAACTCAGGATCAAAGCCAGAGCTGATGATCAGCATCATGGTACCGGTACCAGCAAGGCCCGGTTGGCTTGGTTTGGTAAACTCAAAAACTAATCCTGTAACCCTGAGTTTGTTAAACTAGTTAAACAGCCTTTCAACGAATTCAAAGAATGGATTTCATGCTCTTCCCAACCATGATTCTCTCACAATCTGAGCCTGGTGAATCTGGACATTGTCACGCAAAAATTCACAAAATACAGAACGTTACATTAACTGAATTGAAAAACTAACTAAATAAAAGATAAATAAACAATCTAATGGCTAATATTTCCAACAATCTCAATAACTCATTGGCATTTTTATGTTAACAATCATGCATCTTAATGAACTAACATATAACTCCTGATCTTTGTGATTTGACATTTGTCTTAATATGTATAAATAATTTTGCACAATAATAATACACAGTCAGGCTAGTTCTCAGAGCACAATCTTCACATATACAACTGACCCAGCTTAAACCCAGCCAAAGTGATTCTGTGTCAGTTTAACAACATAAACAGTGAAATAAAACGCTTATGAAAATGAACAGAATGAAAGAATAGCTTCTTTTGTGTTTCTCAGAAGTGAGTCAGCCAGTCATACAGGTTTAAACCAGATTTTTTTTGTACTATAACGTTAACTTACGTACATGAGTTATATGTTAGTATACACACTGTATATGTGTGCGTGTTATTATTGTTACATGTATGCATGTATATATATATAATTAAGGTTAGCTGATGTTCTGTGTTCTCCTCAGTAGCGGTTAGCCCATCGAGCTAACAGCGGCACACACACACAGATAAACCCGCCACTGCGATCTTCAGGAGCTCAGTCTGTTCACATAATCAATAAAATAACAATATTTACCGCTTTCGCAGCGACGCCGGTGTGTTTATCCCACAGAAAATCCGTTCTGCCGTTATTTTACCGCTCCGTGAATTCTCGCGCACAACTTCCGGTGATGAGCTCAGCGCGCGCACACGCAGTTTCGCTAAATCAAAGTGCGCGTTCAAGAGACGGGACACATATGTGAAAAAGTATTCCTACTTATAATTTAGGTTCAGATGATGGGTTTTTAAAGAAAACTCAAATCAACATTCAAGGCTTGTCTTGATTAACTTTGCTTTTCTAGTTAAAGAATAAGCTAATAATTCATTTGAAGTGCCAGATATTTCAAATAATTGACAATTTCAAAACAACTATAAAAATATATCAATCCAATCAATGGCTGGGAATTAAGGGAAATATAATTGTATATGGATAGTGTGAGGCTCAGTGGCGCAGGAGACGCACGCTGCGCAGGAGGCCGCCGGACGGGAGGGGGCGCCCCTGGCACAATAATTATTTGAAAATCTTTAAAAAAACAAAACAAAAAATGTTTGTTACAAAATTATGAAAGCAAACGTTTTTATTTAACTTTTAACTTTTGTTTGTCCCATGACTAAAAATGGACAGATGTGGCACGCATTCTGGGGCGCAGAGCAGAAAAAGGAAAATGTCAAATGATAGTGAACCACTGATCTATGACGTCATTCTATATAGATTAATGTAGGCTAATTAAGCTATTATTTATTTATTTATTTTATCACTTGAAGTCTTTAAATTGATCAACATTTAACAATGGTTAACTTTGCATTTCAGGGCTCGACATGCTTATTTGCTTGACAAGTTTTTTTGTGTTTTGGGTTAGGGTTAGGGTAGAAGTATCTTAAATAACCAGGGAAGCATCGTAACGCGAGAATGATGATTGTATTAGCTACGCTCAGTGTAAAGAGCATAACATTTGAACTCTATGAGTATAGTAAAGTAATGGGTATTTAAAAAATATATTTAAATAATGGGTCAAAACAACAAAAACATTAAAATAATTTTTATTAGTAGTAGTTAAGTAGCATATAGCATTAGCTCTTCTTCAGCCTGAACTAACTAACACGATCAAGTGGATCTAAGGGGCGTGGTCTCCGCATCAGGCTCCTCCCACGCCCCACCTCTTTAACCAGTTTCTGGAATGCGGGAGTGACGCGACGGCCGACTCCGTCCACTTTAGGCTTCAAAAACGGAAGAACCTTTTCTGGACTAAATGCTGTCCTTCTTATGGGTAATGCCTCAAATTAACAACAACAACAAAACATATTATGAATGTAACTTTTATTCAGAAGACAATCAAATAAGAAGAGACCCAATCCTAGCATCAGAAGCAGTAAAACATGGATATTCTGAAGCGGCTTGACATCAGATCCGTTCACACTCACTCGATATCTAGATCTCGCTCGCAGCGAGGAATGCAAAGTCATATATAAACTTGCAATTGCGAAAAAAGGCCAGAATTGTGAGATAAAAAGTCGCAATTACCTTTTTTTTTTATAAGGGGCCATGAGAAGCAGCACAAGTGACAACCAAATCAGAACTAAACAAGCTGAAATGTCCCTAAATCAAAAGTGTTTTAATCTCTGTGTTGTGACACACTAAAGCACATGATGATGATGATGATGATGATGATGAAGACGACGCTGCTCAAACACACCCGTGTCCGAGTTCAGTGAGAATAAATAATGCAAACCGTATGGAGTGGATTTTGTGCTATAATTAAACAAACAAATCCAGCATTTTAGAAAAACCAACTCGATCCGCTTTGCAAAGGAGAACTCGACTCGCAGAACAAACTTTATTGCTTTGTACATTTTTCTACATCGGAAACGTGCGAAATGACCAAATTAGTGATTATGTCTGCACTGAGCGAGTCTATTAAATTAAGAAGAACATTTAATTTAATTAAATAGAGGGTTTCATGATCCTTTATATTTGTAAAACACAATACATATTTGTCACTTCTCTGCTTTTTTAATTTAAATAGACCTTTCTGTTTGTGAGTCGAGTTTTCCTTTGCAAAGCAGATCGAGTTTGTTTGCTAAATGCTGGATTTGTTCGTTTAATCGGGTGGTATAATGCCCATTTCACAAGGAGTAAAATAAGTCTCTGATGTCCCTAGAGTGTGTGTGATGTTTTACCTAAAAATACTCCACAGATATTTTTATATAACATGTTAAAATTGTCACTGTTTGAGAGTGAGCAAAAACGTAGTTTTTGTGTGTGCCCCTTTAAATGCAAATGAGCTGCAGCTCCCGGCACAGGGGGCGGAGCTTCAGGAGCTTGTGCGTGTGTGTGCTTATCTTCTAGCCATTGATTAGCAAATTCTATCATGATTATCTACAAATCGCGTTCCTGGGGGCGGGGTTTATGTAAATTTTACGGTCTGTGATGTCACTAACCCGGGAGGAAGTCGTGTAGTCTCTACCAGCCGTTTGCTGTAGTTCTTAAAAAGCAATTTCTTTAACATAAATGATCTCTCTTTGAACTTTGAGATGTTGTTTATGCTGAAACAGCAACATTACACACTCACTGAAGTTAGAAAAGTGAAATTATAATCAGCCACGCCTTTAATTATGGCACAAAACTGACTCCATAGAGCCGTATCTAACAGAGGGTCACATCTCGTCTGCATGCGTCTGCGTGGCTGCGACTGCGTCTGCGTTTGCAGGAGCCGTTAGAGACACAGACAGGAGTGTGTCTGCGTCTGCAGGAGCCGATAGAGTCAGGAGTGTGTCTGCGATCGTGCCGTTCCTCTGCTCTTCCGACTGCGCCTGCGCATCTGAGGGCCAGTCCGCGTCCGACAGCTTCAGTTCTGTGGGATCTGGGACCAGCGGATCCTCCAGGAGCGCCAGAGAGCCCGCGTCATTCAGGATGTTTCTGGACAGGACTGCACACACACACACACACCACATTACAGGAGTCAATCTTCTTCATCATCATCATCATCACAATATCTGTGTGGAAACTCGCATTCACTGCACAATAATCAAAGACAGTCTCATTCTACACTTTTTATTCACAATCTAGTTTAGACTTTTAATCTATTTTAATTCTAAACTTTTAATCGATTTTTTTACTTATTTTAACTGGTTTAATTCTAAACTTTTCATTCATTTCTAAACTTTTAACATTTTTTATTAATTTTGACTAGTTTAATTTTAAAACTAAATTAAATTAATCAATTAAATCATTGATATGCACACTTGAGGAATTAGGAATTCATCCAAAAATGAAGAAAATGATCTAAAACAACATAAATTTCCTTATTCTACTCTCCTGTTAAACACATGGCAGGAGAAGAGATAATGCACAGAATGAACTTCTGTAATAATGTAGGCTTCACTCCTAATGTGTGATCAGCCTCTGGATGGAGATATGATATGATATATGACATGTTGCTGACCGCCGGACGGGGCGTAACTGTCCTCCAGCGACGGGGAACTCCTGCTGAACGGACTGTAACTCGGGAAGATCAGCAGAGCCAGAGAGAACACCAGAATCTGGGAGGAGGAAGAACACACTGGTGAACTGAAGACTGAAGTGTGTGTGTGCCACTGAGTCACTCACACACACTCACTCTCTCACACACACACACACACACACACACTCACTCACGCACCAGGACGCATGTGCTCGTCTGCGCCGCTTTCGAGGCCGTTTGCTTGATCAACGCCTGCAGTTTATGCAGCTGCGCCATAAGAGACCTGAAACAAACAATCAAACAAACAAATAATCAAACAAACAAACAAACATTGGATTTGTGGATCGTGGAATGCTGTCGCATCAAACCAAAACATGACGGGCAACAATAATTATGTGTTCACTCGTTCACTCACATGTTGTGTTTCTCCAACTGGGTGACGGTTCTCTGCAGTTCTTTATTCTGGGCTGAACAAGCTGCCACCCTACACACACACACACACACACACACACACACACACACACACACACAGACACACACATTATTTTCCCCATATTCTCCATTGTTGCGGCTCCTCTCTTCCCAGTCTGTCTGTAACCCTCTGTTTACTTCCTGTCTCTATGAAGCCCCGCCTTCTAAAAAAGAACACTGTGCTCTGATTGGTCGAGCACTTCGAGTGTGTTTGGGAAATGTCCCGCCCCTTTCCATAACCGGCAGTTTAACACACTACTAACTAACTCACCCAGGCCCCGCCCCTTTATTCTGCACATTAATTATTATAATGAGGAATATTGTGACATGGAAGAAACTGTAGACTATAATGGAGGCGTTTCAGGAGTTCAGGAACACTGACACTCATATAGAGGAGAACTGGAGATTTTTCATGATCAAGCAGTGATCGCTTCAGAAACAGATTAAATATTTGGATGAAGCATAAATATATTATCTCAGGACTTTTGTTAGGAAAGGGAACAGGGGTTATGTGTGACCTCGCGTGTGTCAGGGGTCATGTGTGACCTCACCTGCTCTCCAGGCCGTCGATATACTCCTTCTTCCTCCTGCGACTGTCCTGAGCCGAGAGTTTGTTCCGGATCTTCCGTCTCACTTTCTTCAGGATTCTCTCCTCGGCCTGTGAGATTAACAGATTAACTCACTCACACACTCTCTCTCTCTCTCTCTTTCTCTCACTCACTCACTCACTCACTCACTCACTCACTCTCCGTGTCTGACCTTTGTTAAGGGCAGATTATTAGGCAGAGAAATCCCCTCCTGGTCCAGGAGCTTCTGCTCCTCGTCTGTGAGCTGAAGGTCGGGATAAACCTGAACAGGAGAGTTTAAATGTCAGCGCCATGAGCTCACGCAGTTTGGCTGAACCCTTCCTTTAAAACAAACCTACCAAAAAGCTCTCTGGGTTGTGCATGTTTTGCATGTCGTGATTGGAAACATTCTCCACCTTCACAGACGACACCAGCTCGTTGACCACACACGACTCCGACAGCAGCATCTGAGAGCTCCACTCATCTGCACAGACCGGACGCGTGAGAACAGGATTACATGCGGATTACATGAGGATTACATGCAGATTACATTCAGATTACATGTAAATTACATTCGGATTACATGTGGATTAAATGCGGATTACAAGCGGATTACATGCAGATTACATTCGGATTACATTCGGATTACGTACATGCGGATTGCATGCGGATTACATTCGGATAACATGCAGATTACATGTAGATTACATTCGGATTACATTCAGATTACTTGTGGATTACATTCGGATTACGTACATGCAGATTACATCTAGCTCTCTCTGGTCACATGACACAGATTGAAAAAGGAAGTGCTCACCCAGCTCTATGGAGATCATATGTGGCGGCTGCTGCTCTGCGCTGGCTCCGCCCACACCGCTGATGTCATACACCACCTGATACACGCTGTGGTTCTGCTCGTCGGACTGGTCCTCAGACAGGCCACTGTCGCTCTCGGACAGCGCTGACGTGTACATCTCGTTCGGGTTGATGGCGTTCAGAACCTCCTCAGGCTCGCTGTCATTCAAACTCTGGAACACAGTCAGGGATGGTTTAGGGGCGAGTCTGAGTGTGTGTGTGAGAGAGTGTGTGTGAGTGAGTGTGTGTGAGAGAGTGTGTGTGTGTGTGAGTGAGTGTGTTGTGAGTGAGTATGAGAGTTCTGCAGTTACATGCAGGTCACGCTCCTTGGCCTTCACGTGTCACATTCACTTTTGCAATCTGGACTTCATCCAAAAATAAAGATTCTGTCATCATTTACTCCCCCTCATATTGTTCCAAACTTGTGTGACTTTCTTTTGTCGGTGAAACGGACAACGTGACATTTCAGAAAACTTGTAATACAAGCCGCACACAGGTCCGGGACATCATGAAGTAAATACAGACAAAATAGTCATTGTTGATGCATTAAAGGAGTAGTTCACTTTAAAAAAAGCTTTTGCTGATAATTTACTCGCCCCCGTGTCATCCAAGATCCATGTCTTTCTTTCTTCAGTCGAAAAGAAATTAAGGTTTTTGATGAAAACATTCCAGGATTTTCTCCATATAATGGACTTCAATGGGGTCCAAACAGTTCAAGGTCCAAATGAGAGTTTCAGTGCAAACTGTTCAAAGGGCTTTAAACGACTCCAGATGATGAATAAGGGTCTTATCAAGCGAAACGATCGCTCATTTAATAAATAAATAACAAAGTTTAAGTTTTATAAGCTCAAATGCTCGCCTTGCTCTGTTCTGTGATGTGCATTCGTGATTTAGACCTTGAACTGTTTGGACCCCATTGAAGTCCATTATATGGAGAAAATCCTGGAATGTTTTCATCAAAAACCTTAATTTCTTTTCGACTGAAGAAAGAAAGACATGGACATCTTGGCTGACACGGGGGCGAGTAAATTATCAGCAAAAGCTTTTTTTAACGTCATTTCGAACTAAAGTTCAGAATAAAAGATTTTTTGGAAACATCCGAACTACTACTGGTCCATGGTGATGATGTGAGAGGTGGGTGTGGCTCTGAGGCTCCGCCTTCTTTCTTTGAGCTCAGACCCGAGTAACAGCACACTGGAGAGCTGCTATAGCAGAGACTGATTGTAATTGTAATTGAAAGAGACACTGTTTAAAAAAAAGTTTAATGTTGTAAAGCTGCTGCTTTTAAGTGATCTCTTATATAAAGTGTGTGAATATCCACATGCTTTCTGGACGTCCGTTTCCTCAGTTTGCTGTGTTTATATTCTGTTATTGAGAGGAGAGTATGCATCACCTTTTTACATATTCATGCGGTGAGATAACCCTTTCAGCCCGAGCAGTGTGTGTGTGTGTGTGTGTGTGTGTGTGATTGACTCACACAGTGCGGCCCGACGCTCCAGTCCTCCGAGTACAGGACTCCATCGTCCAGGATCAGCCCGCTCTCCACGGCCTCTTCAGCATCCTAAGACAGACGCGCAAAAATAAAAATATTTAAATATGCAAATTATGCATTATCTAATTAAATATGCACTAATTTGCAAAAATTCACAGAACATTTGATAACGCCAAGTTCATAATTCTAAGCAACATGAATGTGGTTCTCAAATAAGTACCGCACAATAGTTAAATATGCAAATGAGGCATTGTTTGCATAAATTCCAAGAACATTGGGTAAAGCCAGGTTTGAGATTCTTGATTGATTTTATTGACATATTAAATGCTTTGAAGAGGTTCAGTATTTCATTTCACTCCATAAATCAGAAAATACTGTCATACGAATTTTCACATGGGGTAAATCATGCGAATGATAAATGAACAAACCTTCAGTATATGTGTAAAACTGTAAAGTCTGGTGTGTGTAAAGCTGCTAAAGTGGAGATTTATAAGTCAAACCGACCGCCTACACCAAATATATCAAGTGCAATAAAATAAACACAATAAAGTGCATTTCGGATGATTTCTTTCCGCTAGTCTCGTATTATGGACGCAGAGACTGACCAGTGCATGGAGGAAACCAATGGTTTGTCTGACTCTGAACAAGAAGCAGTTTTCTGTAAACAATGGCATTTTAACAGAATAGAAGTAAAGAACCTGTTTGTTTCAGGTAGGGTGACACGTGAGGTTCAACGAGCTCTACCTGTCTGTCTGTCATCTCACCTGTCTGTCTGTGGGAGGATGTGGACATCCTGGTCGGGTTTGGACTTACTGTGTGACACACACACACATAACAACAGACCCATTCTCTAGTTCTCTACACTCACTAAACTAGCTTTGCCTTCGGGATAGATATAATATCAGCATGCGCTATTGAACACATATGAAGATTAGAGTACAACAGCATAAACAACAGCTGATGATGTGTCTGTATGTTGAGCTGTCAATCAAGCAGAGTAAATAAACCGCCTTTCTAGTGTTATCTGCACGCTTTACTCACTCGCTCGGTGGATTTGACGTCCCCGGACATTATCTCGGGTTCTCGCATCCTTCACACACGAGTGTTCGGTGTTTCATGCGAGCAATCGCGAATATTTCCCTGTGTGGATCCGGATCATCTGGTTCATTTGATTCAGTGTGATTCACATCCGCGTTCGGCGTGTGGGCGGGGCTCTGGAGAGACGCTGACCAATAGCACATCATCACGCGCATCACAGTACATCAAGAGTTTAAATTTTTTTTGTTTACTTATCAGTATATTAAAGTATATTATATGAAGTATTCAAGTATTCATTATTGTCTCAAAGTATTTTAAAATGTATCAGGTGATCCCTGTTACTTTTCTCCACGCTAGTCAGGATGGATGGACCAATCACAATCGTTCTTTGTGGTTACTTATAAATGATTTTTAATAATTTTATAGAGATTTTATTGGGGGTTTCCATTACCAATGACGTGTACTAACATTATAGGGTACACGACAAAGCGACTCAATGTTTTAGTTTGAAGAGCGTCCTCTGTATTTAATATACTATTTTTGGTTTTATCATAATTTATTCAGTATATATGCTCAAATCACTGATAGCAGGCATTTAATTAATGTTTGTGATGTTCTTTGAGTAGGTTTAGACAAGTTGTGACTCATATTAATGCCCGTGTCGCAGATGATTCACTCTTTTGAGCCGGATCTCTTTAATGAATTGGATGTTACAATAGTTCAGGGAACTGACTCGTCCGCTGAATTGTTCACTGAAATGAATCAGATTCGGAACATGTCGTGACTCACTGTCCGCTTCCCGAAAACAGGAACAGAAGTGCAGCTTATACGGGAAAAAACCTCAAGAAAAACCCACGATCTGCTCGAGTGATGTTCATATAACATGTTAAATACGAGCAAAACTGGATTTGTTTCAAGTTTGGAAAGTTATTGGCGGACGCTTATGATTCAGTCTCGTTTACTTTTTGTTTGAATCTGTGGTTTGAATTATGAAGAGAAGTTTTATGTAGAAGAGATCCAGCAACACAAACACACAACAACTCAGATCATCTTCATTTCATGTGTACTGGTGAGTAACGTTACTTCGAGAACTACTGTAAAGTCTGACAGTGTTCCTTGAATGATACTTTCCTGAATTCTGTTCAGTGATGATTGTTTAATAAGGGGTTGCATTATTCCAAAAAAACAAGATTTACAAACAAATGTAAAGAGATTCACAAAAATGTATAAAACTCTCAAATAAATAAAATGAGATTTTGCTAATAAAAAAGTATATTTACAAATGTGAACCAGTTTCTGTGCATTAGTAATAAATCACTGCACGCATCTGTGACCTACTGTATATTAAATACCTGTATTACAGTTCCCTTTGTTTGTAGAGAAGACGTGGGTTGTTGCATTCCAAGAGATATCATGCATTTAAAAGTGAGATGCCCAGCTAACAATATGCTTTTATTTATCAGTTAAAACACTTAAATCACACAAATAATATTTCATTCAGACCTAATAGTGTTTTTGTAAAAGTTATATACAGAATCCAAAATAATGCAAAGATGCATTTTTTTTCATCATTGCATTATCCAAAACCCCATACACGCAGTTTCTGAGGTTCAGACTTGCAGAACTGATGGTAATTTGGGCTCATATTTGATATTATCCATAATATTATTTATGCCCCATAGCTATTTTTCATCACGATTTGTGCTTTAAAAGACAAAATCATCTGTCATTTCTTACATTCTTACATGTCATTTGTCATTTCTACACCTTTGTGTAATAGTGTGGAGCTGTGATGATCATAATGTGTGTGTAATCCTGAGTTTATCCTGATGGAAATATAAAGCCTTAAACTCCAACAACCTTTTTTTGTGGAAAAAGTGTAAAAGTGTAAAGCCCTACTGTGGGAGAGTTTGTAACACATTTGTAAATATTAGGGCTGTGCAAAAATTAATTGCGATTAATCGCATCCAAAATAAAAGTCTGTGTTTACATAATATATTTGTGTGTACTGTATATAATTATTTTGTATATATAAATACACACACATGCATGTATATATTTAAGAAAATGTGTTATTCATATATAAAATATTTATATTTATAAAATATAGATTATGTATTTATATATATATGCAGAATTTAAGCGCAAATAATTCTTAAATAATACATGCATGCATAGGTAATTATATATGCAAAATAATTATATACAGCACACACAAATATATTATGTAAACACAGACTTTTATTTTGGATGCGATTAATCGCAATTAATTTTTGCACAGCCCTAGTAAATATATATTTCTTTATTTGCAAAATGCAAATCTCCTTTTATTTATGTGTGAGTTTTATACATTTTTTATTTTTTTAATCTCTTTGCATTTGTTTGTGAATCTCAATCTATTTATTTGGAATAATGCAGCAATTCTAACTTCATAGTATATCACCCTCATCCTGAAATATACATCAGGTAATTATAAAGAACTACATTAAACTGTGAAAAGTAGGAACATATAAAACAATTTTTAGAAAATATTAAATTTCTGTCCTGTTAAATGTGTCCCCCCCGGGGTCAGGCTGCGGGTCCTGGATCGAGCCGGCGATGTTGACTCTGATGCTGTGCTTCAGTCTCCTGTGTGGCTTCGGCCCGGTGTGTGTGATCAGACGAGCGGCAGGTGAACATCAGGACTATCTCCACACACTCCTCTCTCAGCGCTGCGATCCGTCAGTCCTGTTCAGACACTTATAGGGATAGTTCACCCACAGATGAACATGAGCTCATGATTTCCTCTCCTGAAGTGATCCTAACGTATATGACACTCTTATATAAGTTACATTAAACATGTCCTTCCAAGCTTTGTAATGGGATCCAGTGGGTGTATGTCTTGTCTTCATGATTAAAGTGCATCTGTCATCCGACAGGTTAATAAAGGCCTTCTGAAGCGATGCGTTTTCGTGTAAGAAAAATATCCATATTTAAAACTTTATCGACTAAAATAACTAGCTTCCAGGAGACACTTTTATGATGGACAGATGCACTTTAATCATGAATGGATGCGCTTTGATGGACTTCTAAAGACGTGCACCCATAGGATCGCATTATAAGCGTGGAAGAGTCAGGACATGTTTAATATAACACACGAGGATGAGTAAATCATGGGCTGACGTTCATCTTTGGGTGAACTATCCCTTAAACTGTTTACAATTAAAATGATAGTTCATCTAAAAAAGTGAATTATATCATCATTTACTCTCAGTGTCTGTCTTCTGCTCAACACAAACGAAGATATCTGGAAGAACGTCGATAACTAAACAGTTTATGAACTCCATTGACTTCCGTCAAGTGTTTGGTTACCGACGTTCTTCAAAATATCTTTTGCCCTTTAATACAATTAATTCTGTATAGCAAGTAATACCTCGATGTACACTAATTACAATTTTAAATAATGTAATGTTTTTTACTAACAGTACAGTAATGAACTGGAGTAATGAGATTTTTTGTCTACAGAAAGTTATTAACTGTCATGAAGTAAAGCTAAAGCTCTTGTGTCGGTGTCCCATGATCCTCTCTGTGTGTCACCCAGGTGTGCGGCTCGGGGTCATGAGTCTGGCCTCGTGTTTGTCTGACGGTGTGTTTCTTTGCTCATGTTTGCTGGATCTGCTGCCCGATTATCTGACCCACGCCAGAGAAACCTTCAGCCGGCTCGGCCTCGCGGTCAGTCATTAATTATTATTATTAGTAATTAATCAAAGAATGTGACTTTGTGTTTACAAACAGTACTGGTGAGTGTACAGGATTCTCAGCACCGTCAAAATAAAAGTCCCGACAACACTGCAGAGTTCCTGCTGGCGGTGCGAATGCAACCAGGAAAAGTAACGTTCCCATTGGCTCTCGGGGAACCGTCCTGGAGGCCCAGAACTGTCCGGTGGGAAAGCCGCTCATGTGTTTGAGGAAGGACTGCTCCTAAGGCATCAGACTGAACCAGGACTCGGTCTGGAACGTCCTCGTGATGTCACAATAGATAATAAAAATCCATGTTGAGGGTTTAATTTGTAAACCTTTGTTCCCGATTAGCACTAAAGGTGGAGTTAAAACGTTCTCCGGTGTTAAACGTGTGATTAATGAGGGTCTCTGTCTTTGCAGCTTCATTTCCCGCTGGCCGAGTTCATCGTGTCCATGGGATTCCTTCTGGTGTTCGTGTTGGAGCAGATGCTGCTGGCGTTCCGAGATCCGACGGGCTACGAATCCCTGGAGAAGCAGGTGCTCGTAGACCCTCACATGACCCGGAGTCGGGATCCTCCCGGCCGATCCTGGACCGGTGAATCCCTGGAGAAACAGGCGCTCGCAGACCTTCACATGAGTCGGGATCCTCCCGGTCAGTCCCATCGTCTCTCCGGATCCGCTTCTCCGGAGCACGTGGGTCTGCGTGTGCTGCTGCTGGTGTTCTGCCTGTGTGTGTGCGCTCTGGTCGAGGGTCTGAGCGCCGGATCCCAGCTGGATCCCGAACTAATCCTGCAGATCGGAGTGACGCTGTTTCTCCGGCAGGCGATCATGGCGTTCAGTCTCTCCGTCCGGATGAGCCACTACGGTCTCCGTCAGGCCGTGGCGTCCGGATGCATCTTTCTGTTCTCCCTCTCCTGTCCGGCGGGAATCGGGATCAGGATGGGAATGGGAATGGTCGGGATGACTCCCAGCGAGACGGTTCAGCTGGTCCGATGTGCCGTGGAGGGTCTGGCGTCGGGGATCTTCATCTACGTCTCCATCGCTGGACTCCTGTGGCAGGAATCGGCCTCTCCGAAGCATCGCGTCCACAAAGTCACGTTCCTGCTCACGGGATTTGCTCTGGTTACTGCCGTTCTCTTCTGTAAAGTCTGATCGGATTCGGAGCGCTTGGATCAGAAAATGTGCTTTAAAGGTGTTGAATGTAGCTTTATCGCTCTACTAAAGCGTAAAATACCATAACATGGCTAATTTCATATAGTTTTTTCTCTGAAAAACACTTCTACAGACAGTTATTTTACTTATTTTACACATTTCATGTTGTCTGTCTGTTTTTGTTATGGTCTGTGTGACTCCGCCCACTGCCAGTTCAGCCAATAGTATTTAGCCAATAGAAAACACAGTGTATTGCAGCCAGCTGACAAACTGGGTCAGAGACCTATAAAGTATTCATCCAAAAATCTCTATGAACGAAAGCGTATTAAAGCGTGGATAATCATCTCATCCTCTCTCAGTCTCTCTGCTCGTTCCTGCCGCGTGTGCTCAATCTGGCAACCCTTGGGAGCGTCGAGTCTGAGGAGGCGGATAACAACGATCCCTGATATTTTGATTTTGGACCGCAGTACCTATTTCCACCACTAGCTGTCATTCTCACAGACTGCACCTTTAAATACACAACATTTCAATAAAATCAGAAAGCATTTCTTTATCTACTGGAGCTCATGTGTAGAATGAAGTCTTCATAGATATTTATTTGTACATTATCTGCTGTTTGCTTTAGTTTAACCCTCTATTAGGCAGTTTTATACTAATTTAGGCTATTGTACAAAGTGCTACAGTATTTTTACACATATGATTCTGTATTCCTGCACAGCATTAAATGCAAACACACACATCTGTATTATCAGATGAATGTCAGAATGATGCAAACATCTGATTATATGTGTCACAACAGATGGTGTAGAATCATTAATAATGTGTGAGCTGTGTTTTATTGTGTGTGTGTTGTGTTCAGTTGTTAATTCAAAATTAAACAGATTTATTGGCATGGCTGTAATAAATAATACAATATTTCCAAAGCAAAGCCTGGAAAAAATGATATGTATAACACAATATTATAACTATAAAACATTTGCATATTCATAGAAACACGCATACTAAATGAAGCAATGGCGTTGGGTTACATTCTAGATTTAAGCCATGAACGAATCTTTTTTCATGTCAGCTATGAGGGATACACAACTATTGTCTACAGGGGGACTTTTTTTTTTTTACTCAACAAATAGCAATTTCTATCCAATAAAATATTTGGAAAATGTATATTCATTATAAAATGTTCCTAAATGTATAAAAATGTACTTTTTTTAGGTCTAGAAACAATTTTATATAAATATTTATTTTTTTAGTAAGATATAAAATTAATAAAAATAAAAACAAAGAAAATGAAACGCTTACTAAAATTCTTACATAATTAAATGCAAAATTAAAATAAATTATTTAAAATGAAAAACAACCTTAAACTTAATCCATAAATATGGTTTAAAAAATTGGAATAAAAACGTAACGTTAAAGTATAATTTTAAAAGTAAAAAAATAATAATATTAAAACGCTATATTCAATACTAGTTGTGCTGTACGTCCGTCAGTGTTGGTGTGTGTGTGTGTGTGTTGAGTTTGAATGTTAAAATGTTTGTGTGTGTGTGTGTGTGTGTGTGTGTGTTGAGTGTATACAGTCAGTGTGTGTGTGTGTGTGTGTGTGTGTAAGTCTCGTTCGTGCCCCTAGAGGGCTCGTCTATCTCTCTCTGTCAGTAAGTATGTCGGTTCTTCGGTTCTGTATGTGAGTTCGGGGTTCGATCATCATCATGTCCTCCGCGGGATCATGCGGACCGGCACCGGGACCGAATCACGGCGGTTCTGGTCCCTCAAACCCGCGAAAGTTCAGCGAGAAGATCGCGCTCCACACGCAGAGACAGGCTGAGGAGACCGCGGCGTTCCAGCAGGTCATGATGGACATCACCTCCACCCGGGTAACACACACACACACACACACTCTCACGGGAACCGGATCGCGGTTCCGACGTTCCCGCTGAAAAGCGTCAAATCCGTGTTTTACTGTCGTCTCGTGAGCGCGCTCGGTGGCTGGCAGGAGCGCGCGCGAGCAGGTAGTAGCGCGCTAGCTAACGGAAGCTAACGACAATAACGCTGTTATCATGAAAATGGAATAAAGGAAAGACGTCAAATAGACTTTAATTATATGGTAGATGTTAGAAGAGCCACTATGATAGTAAACGACATTAAAAGAACGATAAATGCGTGTGTGAGTTTGAATAGTCTGTCAGACAGGAAGCGGTTAGCAGCAGATTAGCATGACACACACACACACACACACACATACACATACACATCAATCAGTGTATTCGTCTAAACTTCACATATGAAATCAGCTGTACAGTCTGATGTCTAATTCACTTTATCTAGGTTCACTGCCAAAATGTGTGATGGTATTTTTGTCCATGTACCATGGTATATAGTAGTGTGTGTGTGAGAGAGAGATGTCACTGATAACTAACCCTGATCTGGGCTGGTCACCCTGACCTTTGCACTTTCACCTCATCACTGGAGGTCCATCATCATCGGAATAATAATATTCAGGCTATCAAATAAAATATTAGTTTTTAGTTAGTGTATTATTTTGATTTGTTTTTTATTTTATATTTTAAAATGTTTAGGAAGTTTTAAACTTGTCACTTTGGACAAAGGTGTTTGCTAAATGACGAAATGTTTTAATTTTAATTTTTATTTTTTGTATAAAATGGTTAATTTAAATTAGCATTTTATAATGTCATTTTTTAGTAAGTGTATTATTTTTGTTTTATTTTCAAATTAATCTAATGAAAAAATGTTTTAGTAAGTGTTTTTTAATTCAAAATATTTATAATTTAAGTTTCAGTAAGTGATTATTTAGATTTATTTTGTTGTTTTTATCTTGTTTTATTCTAAATGTTAATATATTTTAATCTTGTGTTTTATGATGAATTATTGCACATTTAGTGAGAAATTTTAATAAACAATTACTAAAAAAATTATTGCATCATAAAATGTTACACTAAAAGAGATAATTTAAAATGAAAAACTATTAACACAAAACACTTACCAGACCTCAGACCATGAATATGTTAAATCAAAATAAAACGCTTAATTTATTTTTTTATTTATTCAGATGATCGATTTCCATCGGTGAGGTCAAAGTGCAAAGGTCATTTAATGACCTGGTCAAGGGTTAGAGCACAGGTTATGATTGTAAAGTAATAGAAACACAATAGTAAGTGTTTTGATTCGATTGATTAGAGATGATCGTCTGATTCTGTCATTCGTCAGTGTCCGTCTCTCAGGCACGATGATGCTCTTGACGTGTGTTTGCGAGGGTTAAAGGTCACAGGTCACGCTCAGATCTCCTGTAGCAAGTCCTGCCCTTCGTCTCAATGTCTCAATTTCTCGAAGTGTGGATCGGTGCTCACTATAACAGCTGATATTACCCACAATCCACAAAACGTTTACAAAAAACTACAAACATGGCGGGTGTGCCCGACCGACGGTGAGAGGTTCAAAGAACAGAGTGACTAATCAAAGTTTAACATTTTTTTAATTATGTCTGTTCAGAGCAGCTGGGAAATCTCAGACTGTGTGTGTGTGTGTGTGCGGTCGAATGTCAACACACTTCTCTCTGGATGGGGAAACTGTGGTTAATGTGATTAGGTTGACCTCTAACCCTGAAACATGCTCTTTTGCTCATGTGTGTGTAAACATGTTTGATGGTGTATCTTCAGCTTGACACTGTATATTTAACCCAGGGTTAAACAGACGCAAGCCCTTATTTAAGCCGGACAGGAAATGCCGCGCATTGTTGACCCAGTATCACAGCGATTCCCAAACTGGTTTTGTCAGCCCAACCCATTTGACCTAAAATCATTTTTTTTCAAGAACCACCTGAGATTTATTCCAATAATTTAAGTTAACAACACATTCATGTTTACAATTGTCACATGACAACACATTAAATATTTCATTTTATTTCTTTCAGTGTTTTATTATGATTCTTTTTTAAAAAGTTTATTTTAATTTGACATTTAGCAATTGAATTAATTTTTTTTTCCCCAAAATTCTTTGTTCGTTTTTAATTTAAAACATTTTTTTTATGATTTAATTTTTAGTAACATATTTTTGATGATTTTTATTTTAAAATGATTCATTAGTTAATGAATTTTCAGTTTTTTTCATTTTGATTTGACATTGTGATATGATTAAATTGACTGTTTTCATCAAGTCACGAACCCCAGTTTGGGAAACCCCAATTTTTTTTGTAAGTTTTGGATGTCAAATTATGTTTCAAGTAAATGTCAGGTAATAAGACTTCCTTCCTGTCTATTTTCCACACTGTAAATGGAAGGTCAAATGGAGCACATTGCATTGTGGGATATTGGGTCAAACGCTGGTCTGGTGCTTGTGTGCAGGTCCAGGCACAGAAGGTCCGGCTGGCCAGATCTCAGGGCCCGTATTACGGCGGATCTCTGCCAAACGTCAACCAGATCGGCAGGAGCACCTCAGAACTGCAGGTGAGTGTGTGTGTGTGTGTGTGTGTGTGTGCCATCGGCAGCTCCTCACGGATCTGACGCCCCTGTGTGTGTGTGTGTGTGTGTGTGTCTCAGGAGGGCTCGTTCCACTCTCCGCTGGACTCCAGTCGCTCCACTCGGCATCATGGTCTGGTGGAGCGAGTGCACAGGGACCGGCACTTCGTCTCTCCCAGCAGACCCTACAGGAGACACGTATCCTTCAGCAGGGGAGGTGCATGACAGCAGGAGTGAAGCGGGTCGCAGCTGATCCTGACCCGTACGATTCGCGGATTAACTGCTAAATTTACCCATCATAGAGCGAAAGTTTATAGTTTGGACGTGTTTTATCTGGTCGGGACTCGTGCGTGGACCCCCTATATATATTTCTTTGCTGATCCGAATAATTATCCGATCCGTGGCTCAAAAAGCGTAAATGATCCGAACCGTGAGTCTTGAGATCCGTGGCACCACTAATTAATAATCAACTAATGATGAATCAGGTTTTCCTTGATCTCTTTTGATGAGTAATATGCCAGTTAGTACAGACAGAGCCGTCTAACGGAGAGCACTTCCTATCAGCCCCGTTGTGGATCATCCTGGTTGCAGTTCCATTATAATTCCACTGGGGGTGATCGCGGGCGAGAGCAGAATGAATGGGAGTCTATGGGGCTAAACGGCTAAATGTGTCTCTTTCACCTGCTTGTCGTTAAATCAACATAGATTTTATTGTTGATTCTGCAAGTTCAATATAGATTATAGGCCAAAAGTCGAATGAACGAGTGCTTATGTCCTTTTGATTTCTTACAGGTTAGGCCGTTGTTGGCCTGAACATGCTAGCATTCTGCTATTGTGTGATGTCATCACAGATTTTTAGAACAGATAAGTGAACTTAAAAATGCAATTTTCAGCTGAGTGTATTATCTTAGCCCTCCCTTTTGAATGCAACTTTCAAATTACTTGACAAAAAATTACATCCTGAGAAAAGTGGATTTCTGGGGGTGAAACCCCATTGACTCCCATTCATTCTGCACTCGACCGCGAGCGCCCCCGCATGGACAGAGACGCGTTACTGCAGCCAGTCCACAACCCGGAAGTAACCAGCCAGTGCCGATTCTCTTCAATTAGACATTCTCTGGTACAGATGTGTGTGTGCTGTTTGTCTCCTTGACCTCTGACCCCAGATGGACACCCCTCACAGCAGCGCTGTGTATCTGACTCCGCCCCCTGACCCCAGCTGGAGAAGGTAACGTCTCATTGGTTTACACTCACACTGGCTCACTGACTTTTGCTGTAAAATTTCATGAGTCGGGCTTTGAACCCTGTTTGTGGACAGTGCCGTGAGTGTGTGTGTGTGTGTGTGTGAGTAACAGATCTGCATCTTCTCATCTGCTCTTCTTCTCTGCTGGTGTCTCTCAGGAGATGCTCCTCTTTAGTCTTTGCTGCTGTTCCTCGTCTTGTTCTGGTTGAATGATTCTGATCTTAATCTTCTTCATCTCACTGAGATGTTTGTTGTGTTCTGATGGAGGAGATTTCAGCAAACACCGGTGATGATAGATCAGAAACATCTGAATGCTTTTAACACACACGCACACACACACACACACTAACAGACTGTAGGTGTATTTGCGCTGGTCAGATGCTTCGGTCTGTGTTTAACCTCTTCTCGCTCAACACACACACACGTCCTTCGCTTCTCTGGTTCTTTCTCAAGCTGCTCGTCTCTTTATTCTGCTCTCAGTTCTGGAAGTAACAGGCGTTTTTTGTCAATCATGAAGGAACTGGAACAGTAACTTTCCCTCGGACAAGAGCCAGATGTTCCCCCAGCTGCCCACCGGCGCGCTCAACAGGTGACGACTCTCTACAGATCACTCACGCTAGAGGAGCCTTTCGGTTCTTCAACATCTGCAATCTTCAACCAGTCCAGTTCTGACACTTTCAGAATCTTTCCTTGAAGTCAAAAAATGTAATGGTGATCTTCGGTCATTTTTGACCGCGAAATTCCTTCTTTTTTTTAATTTATTGGAATGGCATGAAAATTGGTTACGTTTTTGGCACTTGAAATGTGAACACAAAAAAATCCTGGACATGATTTGAAAAGGTTAAATGGTCCCGAAAACATAATCACACTTCTTGCAGTTAAAATGCTAATTTCATCTAGTGGAAGCGTTTGGTACTGCAGTCGAACACAATCTGACTGAAAGCTCTTTTTTTGAGGTATCGCTATCATCTCCGTGTAAACTTCAGAAGCGTGAATCTGAAACCTGGAGTAACTATGTGCGCAGGCGTGTTGTCTTTACAAAGTGACATCGCCAACGTACGTGTCTGGCTGCATTATACAGAACGTTTAGTCGTTTCCGCCTTTCCATGTGAACTGGAATCATTGTGATAATGTGTTATCTGGACCACGGTGAAGGAGTGTTGAGTCTTGTGGTCAATTATTTTCTGAGATTGTATGGTTTTATTCTGTATGTACAGTATATATGGAATTAATTTTGTTATAAAAGATCTTGAACGGGAGCAGTAAAGCCTGTTTTGTGTGTCTGCAGAACGAACTCGGACTCTGCGCTCCACACGAGTGTGATGAACCCGCCGGCTGCAGACACCTTCTCTGCCGGACTCTCGCTCGCGGCGCAGGGCCGACGGGCCGGTCAGTGGCTTCCACACTCCTCATGTGACCATCATCGTGTGTGTGTGTGTGTGTGTGTGTGTGAGTGAGTGGGTTCTGACAGGTTCTGTTCTCCTCCTGCAGTTTTCTCCTATCCAGTTCCTCCCATCGAGGAGAACGGCCCGGATGACGGACGCCTGCTCAAACCCTGGGACTCCAGGAAGGTGTGTGTGTGGTCAAATGTCTTCACAAAGACAGTAAAAAAGTGGTTTAGAAAGTGTAAACATGGCCCAGATGTTCTGCTAAGTCTGTGTGTTTTCGCCTCGTTCAAACCCATTTTCTCCATAAGGAAACGGATATTTAACAATAAAGTCAAAGTTAAAGTTCTCAGAAGCGTTAAAGTCAGCCGTACTGTGAGGACGAGGCTGCATTTGCTTCTGGACCATCTGCAACATTATTTCAGCTTAGTTTTAAAATTATCTGGTGAAAAACTACATTACCCACGATGCTCTACTGAAAATTCAACCAATCAGTCGAAACGAGCTAAACATGCCATAAAAGTGCGTTAGCTCCGCCCACTCCCATGAAGCACTATATATTCACTAAATATTTGAATACACATATGCATATTTTGCAATAAACATAAATATATTGTTTTTATATAGATTTTTAAATCACTAGCTTTATGGTTTAATTTGATTATGCCGTTCGCACTGCATCATGGGATTGTGGTTCTTTCCTCACTAATGCCGTTGAGGTTAGTCTTTGTATTTTTGCCTATTTTCAAATACTTTTTTTGCATCAAATCAAAGATTTTGTATATGATCTTGTGTTTATGTGAAGTTTTCTGAGATAAATGAGGATTTGAGCATATTTTTGAACTCTGCATCATCAGATTAGGCAATTTTAGGCCTTTTTGCAACTCAGCAGAAATGTTGAAGATGCTGGGCTGTGTTAGAGATAAACAAATGTGTGTGTGTGTGTGTGTGTGTTTGACTCATGTCTCGTTTTTTCTTCAGCTGCCGCTGCTCTCTTCACGACCACGGTCCTGTGAGGTGCCTGGAATCACGTGAGTTCAACCGGCCAATCACACGCCTCCTTACACCACCGGTCAGTCATTCACTCGTCTCTTCCTCTGTGTGTGTGTGTGTGTGTGTGAGAGAGAGTGTCTGTCAGAGTGTCTGTGAGAGTGACAGACATTCTCACACTCTGTCTCACACACACACACACAGGGAGAGAGAGAGCTCACCTATTCCTGAACCCTCAGCTCTGCTCTGGGATGCTGGGATGAGTGTCAGTGGCTGAAACAGAGAGCCGTGGGCCAAACACCAAAGCTGAAAACCAGAAGTGATCATTTACTGGGGTTTCTTCACATTCATATACTGTATTATATCACATTTATATACACACACCTCAGTTCACTTCAACAAATGAGCCAAAGCCACCGCTGTGTAGAATAAAGCTGTGATTGTGTGTCAGTGCGGATCAAGATTTTTTTATTTTTTTATTTTTTATTTATTTATTTAGAAAAGGGACCGTGTACATTAATAAACATTCTTAAATGTAAATGTACCCAAATTAGCCCAAAGGCTAGTTTTCATTGGTAGTCCCTTTGCCAGATGTTATTAGGCTCTTAACTAGAAAAAAAAGAGTTAAAAATTACAGCAATACAACAGTCATAAAACTAGAAGTATACAAAAAGACAATGTATATACAGACACAATTAAACAAAAAAAACATCACGATCTTCATTCTGTTCTCCTGTAACAGTAAAGGTCCACACTTTACTCCGCAGTTATAAATCACACACTCAGTTAAAGTGGTTTATCGGCAGGTTATATTTCTTGTCCAAAGTGTTTTATCCTCCTCTTCCACTGCGGTGTGTGTTAGTCTTACTGTGCAACTCTTACTGTTAGAGCACATTAGCATTTCTTTAATTCAGCATCTGAGCGACAGCACAGTCAGTTAGTGTTATTAAAGTCTATAACTCATAAAATCCTTCACAGTTGATCCACAAATTATATTTATATCAAGTGTCCGGTGCTGCTAACAGTCTGATATTGGAATGAAATTGACCTGAATCTATAGTTAATGTTCGAGCTGTTTTTGTGTTGAAACAGGATGTTGTGTTGATGATGTTATCTTGGACGGTTCCTGGTTTAAGACCATCAGTGTTCAGTCAAGACTCAAGCGGCAGCCGTCCACTTTCTGCAGTTCCTCCACTGGCCACTAGAGGCGCTGCAGAAGAGACTCACTCCCATTGACTCACATGTTAAAATGCCCAACTTTACAGCAGAATTAAACATGTTTACAGTCCGGTGCTAAAAGTGGTTTTGGTCTATATCACTAATGTTGCCCTTCATGACGACTGTGAGGGGGGTGAATATTTGTGTAACTTATCCGTTTAAATTATATTAAGTCTTAAAGTTGTGCATAATTAAGGGCGTGGCTACTTGAGTGACAGGTCGCTACTAGCCGTTTGTCTGCTAGTGTTAGCGTCACGTCACCTCAGCTAATCCGCCTCTGCACATGTTCGTTTATCTGGGAGTGATGCGTGGCCAAGATGGCGACGGCCGGCTCCGCCCACTTTGGGCTTCAGAAATTTGTCACACACACTACGCCCATGTTTATTTACAGTCTATGGTTTCAGTCTCTCTCTGTGCGCTGGTTTCAGGTCAGTATCTGACGTCACTGTGTTTGTGTGTGCAGTGTGTTTCCCTCTCCGGACCAGCAGGGCGGCGCCGCTCACGGCCCGTCAGTGTTGAACACGGGCGGCTCGCTGCCGGATCTGTCCAGCCTGCACTTCCCGTCTCCTCTCCCCACGCCGCTGGACCCGGACGAGCCCGGATACCCGTCGCTCAGTACCGGGAACCTGACCTGCACCCTCACCCAGCTGGGCATCGCCGGCTCCCTCCACTCCTCAGGTGTGACGTCGCCACACGCTCAACAAGTGAAGTGGATCAAAAGGGTTGATGGGAGTTGTCCTTTAACGAGAACGGGGATCGTTCAAAATTGATGTGTAACTGATGAAAGGCTTTGGTCCACTTCAGTGTTGACGACTGTATGTTATATCACAGCTCTTCAGTTAACCCTCTGTGATGCTCGTGTGTTGGCAGTCAAAAACCATAACCAGTCAAATTTTTTCATTTCAATGAAATTTATTTTTTTTTCAATTATGTTTTTATTTTATTTCACATGTTGTAATTTTAGGGGATTTTATAGTACTAAATTACATTTGCGCTGCATATATAATCCATTTATTCACTTTTTGAGCATAGAAAACGCTTTAGAAAAACAGACTGAAGTTTGATCTCTTCTCAAACACGACCGCAGATTATTGCTGAAGTGAAAAAATATATATATAAAAAAATGGTTTAAAATGCACAAAAATACCATTTGCAATTTTTATATGAAATTTTCAAAAACACATTTTACTCTGAAACTGCAAGAAAATCAAAGCCATAAACCAAAGTGTGTGTTCCGCATGTGAGCTGATGTCGTTCAGTGCAGTTCCACACACTTCCACTAGAGGAAACTCTCATTTATTTTTTGCTCAACAGGAGCTCAAGTGGGACTAGTTTATCAGGACCGTATAACCTTTACCAAGTTTTGCACCATTCTGATGAAGTAAAAAACCGTTTTCAGTTTTCAAAGAGCACCAGAGGGTCAGAGTCGTATGTCTAAGGTTAGAGTGGAGCCATGATGTTAATATGAACCTCGTGTGTCTTCAGGTCTGCTGCCGTCTCTGCAGGGCACGTCGAGTAGCCCCTCCCTCCAGTCGTCGCTTAGCAACCCCAACATCCAATCATCTCTCAGCAATCACTCATTCCCGAGCTCCGCCTCCCTGCACTCGTCGCTGAGCAACCCCTCCCTGCAGTCCTCGTTAAGCTCCTCCCCCTCTCTGAGGTCATCGCTCAGCAGCCAGTCGTTGCAGTCGTCCCTCAGTAGCTCCTCCCTCCAGTCGGCAGCCAGTAACCCCAGTAACACCAGCTTCTCGGGCTCCTTCGCTGCGCTCGGCCCTGGACAGGTGCAGATGAACACGTCCCCCCGCAGGCGAGCGCAGCTGACCCCCGTGACCCTGCCGCAGGACACGCGCCGACACCACCCCAAACAGTTCTCGCCCACCTCGTCCTCGCTCGGCTCCATCACACAGGTACACACACACACTCACACACACACACACAAAAACACACACACACACACACACACACACTAACCCGACCCCGAAACCTGTCCAACACACACACACACACACACACACACACTAACCCGACCCTGAAACCTAACACTCAAAGCTTGGAAAACATATAATAATAATAATAAAATCAAAATAAAATAAAGTGTTATAACATAAAACAAATTATATTCTGTCTCTCTCTCTCTGTGTGTGTGTGTGTGTGTGTGTGTGTGTGTGTGTCAGGGAGTGGCTCTGGACACCAGTAAGCTGCTGGGGGATCAGAGGTCGTCTCAGTATTCTTTCGGACAGTCGGTTCAGAAAGGTCTTGTTCCTGCGCAGACACACACACACACACACACGCTCCGCCCGTCATCACAGACCGCGCAGCTTCATCTACACAACATGCAAAACCTGCACAAGACGCAGAACTTCCAGCTGCAGCGGCCCAATCAGAACCAGAGCCCGAGCGCGGGGAGTGTGTGTCCGGCGGACGAGCAGAGCCGCATCAGCGAGCTGGACCTGTACAACGTGAGTCACACAATATGATGTCACTCCTTATTATAGTCCAGTCAGCTCTATTTACAGTCAGAGCAGCTTTACTTTACAGAGACAACCGGACCATAATGCAACAGAGTGTGTCTAGAAGAGAAGAGCGTCACAGTCCAGCTTCAGGAAGATCAGCGACTTGTTCAGTTAGTTCATTTATGAGTATAGATATATATACAGCCGCTCTGGGAAAAAAACGCGATGTCATTATAAATGATTTGTGTGCACATGCAGTGATGTTTTCATGTGTTTCGGGCCGCGCTACACATCGTAAAGAGAACTTCTGTTTCCTGCTTCAGTGCCTGATGATCCGTTTGCTCCGGTGCCGTTCTTCAGTTCTGCTTACATGAAGTGAAAACTGAAATAGCCCCGGCCTAGACATGATGATACTCCACTAATGTGTGTGTGTGTGTGTGTGTGCGGTCACTCAGGACACCATGTTCCTGAACTCTCTGCTGGACGACCCGTACCTGGACCTGCAGTTAACCAGCCGTCAGAACCAGAACCTGAGTCTGAGCCAGCAGGTGACACACACACACACACTCACACACTCACACACACACACACACACACACTCACTCACACACACACACACGCATTCCCTGGCTCTAACCCCGTCCGGTGTGTGTGTGTGTGTGTGTGTAGTTGGGTCTGGACTGTCCTGATCTGGGCTCGGGGTCGGGGTCAGTGAAGGCTCCGGGTCAGCAGGGGGCGCTGGACCTGCTGGACTCCTCAGAGTGTCAGGCGTACGCAGACGGGCGGCACACGGTGCCCAACATCCTCCTGACCGGTGAGTCACTGAACCTACAGCGATCGCTCAACATCGGCCCATGATTCACTAGTGTGTGTGTGACCCTCTCCTGTCAGACGAACACGTCCCGACTCTCTCCATGACCTCTCTATGATCCCGATGTGTGTGTGTGTGTGTGTGTGTGTGTGTGTGTGTGTGTGTGTGCAGATTCTCCGTCGGGCCTGTCGAAGGAGATCACACACGCGCTGTCGGGCGTCCCGGGCTTCGAGATGGACCCGTTCTGCTCGGACGACCCGCTGGCGCTGGAGGGTCTGGCATGCTGACGGACGGGGACCTGATGCTGGCCGACCCGGCGGTGGAGGACTCCTTCAGATCCGACCACCTCAAAGTGACCCGCGGTCATGTGACGCCTCGGGCCGGCGGGTTCTGACTCGTGCACGTGCGCTTAAAACTGTGAGCTTCTGCCCTTTAACTCTCTGCACTTCTCGGACGATCAAACCCTGTTACAGACATCACCGTCGACCAATCACAGCGGGTTTACACGTGCCTCCGCTCAATGTCCCAGCATGCACTGGACCACACCAGGTCAATGCAGGATTCACACATGCACTTACCGCTGAAGTTCATCAGTTCCTGAAGAGTGAAGCACTCAGCCAATCATGAGTCAGGGGGCGGGACTATCTGACGGACTGACCAATGAGGGACGAGGGGAGTGGCGTGTTCAGAACAGCATACTATCATACTGCAGATGTATCCCACAATGCATTGCGCTCGACAGTGCTGGGAGTAACAGATTACATGGAATCAGATTCCAAAGATGAAGAGCTTGTAATTAGATTACATTAAGTTTTTTATCTTTCTAAAAAAATATATTGTTTAAATGTGTTCAGAATTTTTTTTTGGAATTGCAGATTGGCGTTTGAAAATTAAGAAATTATATTTCTATTAAAAATATGAAATTGTGACTACTGGAGAACTGAGATATTCTATGTATATTATGAAACATCAGATGTTCATGTTTTATTGTTTTATTGGCGTAATGTTTGCAAACTAATATTGAGTTGTTTGCACAGATCAGTATGCAGTATTCCCTTCTGAACACAGCCACTGTCTCACACACACACACACACACACACACACACACACACACACGCACGCACACACACACACACACGTCAGGTTTACTGTCTTATGGAGACTCCATAGACGTAATGTTTTTTTCTGTACAAACTGTATGTTCTGTCCCCTTACACTAACCCGACCCATCACACACACACACACCACACACACACACA